TCATTTTGCATCTTTTGGTTTTGCTTTTGCTTCCCCAGCCAATGTGTTGTGATCTAATTGGCCAAAAATCCCATGTCATTTACCTAACCTTAGTCAGCAGCATTTCTTCTCCAGTTTGTTTAACATTCAAATATCCATCTGATTGGGGGAGCAAACTTGTAAATACTTGGGAACATCGTACATGTTCATATGTGACCCATGTGCATACGCACTGACAGGACTGGGCTCCAGCTAGACTGGCTGTTAATAAGAGCAAGACTGTGTGTAAACACAGTGGTAATGAAGTTCGTTCTTTCACCATTAGTGAGGACAGCAATACAGAAATCAAATACTTCATCCTAAATTGTTCTTTTCCTAAAATTGTTCTTTTCCAAAATTACAGCAGTGATCCAAAGACCAAATATGCTGCATCTCACTGAGCTACACCGACACCATCTGAAATATTTTAAAAAATTCAGTGTCCTTATCATTTCTTAGAGATCCTTTTTGGCTTTACAGGCTACTCCACAATTAGTTTCCTGGTATTTTCTCTACCAATAAAGAATTTCGAAGCTATGGAAAAATTGAAATTTTTTTTAACAGAAGTCATTGTCTTTGCAGAGTCAGCATACATTTGGAGAGGAGGGTACAGGGGTGGTTCAGGTTTTTTATTTATATTCCTATGAAACAACTTATATTTATAACCTAATTTTCAGATTGGTAACCACTTTTCTGATACATACTTAAATAGGTGAAGGTGAAGGTGATTAATATTAAAGTAAATCCTAAAAAGTGTTGAGAAACATTATTTAGTCATGACAACCTATTTCCTACTTAACAACGTGGACCTTATAAATGCTTGAGTTTCCTGTCAGTTAAAGTACCAAATAAAATAAAATAAAATAAAATAAAATAAAATAAAATAAAATAAAACAAAACAAGTTTTGTGAGTTTTATAGACCTCGTGCCTGTCTTTCTCAGGCATGTCTCTCTCTTTATAAAAACATTGGGTTCATTGAGAAACTGCTGCCAGACCAAGGCTGGCTGGGCGGCACGCTGTCCTGCTCCGGTGAAGGTTTTACAGCTGAATGCAAAGAGAGCAAAAGCATTCCACACAGAAACTACCACAGTTATAAGGACCAGTAACAAATCCTACAAACAGTTAAATATGTAGGATATATATCTGGTATATATCTGGCTAAAGTCAGTGATGTTGCTCATACGTATAAGCTTTCACCGGCCCAAGGTCTAACGTTAAAGCAGAAGATAGGAAAACAGATGCCAGTATTTTAACAGGAAAATTACCTCTTGTTTAAGAGTTATGTAAAAATATTCAGCTTTGTTGTTATTATGGAGATATATATTGCATGACCATAGCTGTTTTCCATATAGTAATTGTAATTTGTATAAACACTTTTATCCATTTGTTCTGTGCTGTGGAATTTGATTTTTTTTACTTTTTTTGCATTCATTCCCTCATTAGACACTGAAAGAGTTTTATGAGGTAAGGAATTATTTTGCTGCATTTTTTTTAGCAATGAAGTAGTTGTAAAATGTCATAGATAATTGGGTATAAGGTTGTGGTTCTTTTTGTGCTGACTTACTGTGTTTTAAGATATCTTATGTATCTTAATACTTACTAAAGTATGATGTACATTTTTTTTCAGGAAATCCAGAGCTGTACTGTAGACCTAGGTATTACATCAGACAGCTCTAATCACCCCGACAACAAGAATAAGAATCGATACATAAACATTGTTGCTTGTAAGTACATGCATCACTTGGTGTTTTTCTTAAGAAATAATTATAGACAAGTACAGATTTATATCATATTAGAGGGAAAAAAAGTACCTCTACACTGAAAGCTCTGGATGCTGTTCAGCAAAATACTTGAAGAAGAGTAACATGAGATTTCACATCTTTTCAAGTCATGAAATGTAAATTCAAGTCATGTGTTAGCAAGACATATTTGTGTCTTCTGTGATGACCCAAAGGGAGTTGGGACATTTCATTATAATGACATTACAAAGCCATAGAAGCTGTGTTTTGACTGCCAAAATTAATCCATCTTTGATGTAGGGTAATGATGATTTATCCTCTCTAGGAGCTTCACAGTCCCTGGATGTATTTACTGTCATATATAAATATAAATGTACTGTTTTGATGTTGTACTGTGCCCTGCCACGATGTAATAGATCAGCTTCATTAACCAGGACACGTGTATTCTCATTGCGTTGCCCATCTTCACTACCCCAGATTTTTCTTTTCTGAAACACATCTATTCACTTTTGTTAATCTCTCTTTGAAGCTATTGCCTCTGGGCTCTTGATCATTTTGGTGGCTTAATATATTTTTCTTAACTCTCTATAGTATTTCAACTTTGTTCTCATAACAAGAAGCTCTAAATTACTGGAGTATCTAGTGTCACTAGAGCTTTATAGAAAAAGAGACAGAATGAGCTCATCTGGCAGACGACAATGTAAACCAACAGCAAGAAATCCCATTCCACCTAGCTGAAGATACCACTTGGGATGGAAAGTCGGGGATTTTCCTCTGCCACTCTGTGTTGATACCTAATTGTACAAAAGGTGCCAACCCAGGGGCTTTGTTATCAAAGGGTAGTGCTCAAGCAGCTTAGGGCAGCTCAAGTAGCAAGAATTGCCCCGTGCAACTGAATCAAGTCTCTAGTCCATACAAACAGCGCAGGCTACAGAAAGCTTTGGCTTTCCCTGAGGTAGCCACTGCTGAAGCTCTTCAGATGACCAGCTTCTCCAAGGCTCCATCGCTCTCCAGGCTCCAGGCTGTGCTCTCTTTAATTTGGAAAGACTGTGCCTAAACTGGTACCTACTGTCGTCTGAGACATCCCCGGGCAGCCAGGACACCGTGCAGGCTTGGCAGTCATGCCACAGGACTTAGAGAAGACCCATGCCCCTTCACAAGCAGCAGCTGGAGGCTGCAGGGGGCTATGTCCCGGTGCCTAAAATGACCCCAGGTGCTTCTGCTCAGGGAGCTAAATTCTGAATCCTTGAACCCTTGGATTCATTAGTTTATTTTTCTGCAAACTAGAATTTGGAATATGATTTATACCTAAGGACAAGATGTTTGCATATGTGTTTGTCACTGTATTAGTCTTACATTATTGTAAAAAATTATTTCAGTATTTTTTAAAAAGATATCTTACAGAAAGAATATAATTCTTGCAGAAAACTATGCTTACTTTCTCCCTTGTTTTACTACAGATGATCATACTAGGGTTAAATTAGCACAGCTTGCAGAAAAGGATGGAAAACTGACTGATTACATTAATGCCAACTACGTTGATGTAAGTGCCTTTTTCTACCTGTCAGCTCTTTCTGTAAATACTGATGTATGGAGGTGAATAGACTTAATTTTTAAAAAGTAGCACAATAATACAGATTTTGTTAAAAAAAAACTAATCAAAGTTAAGCCTACAAAGTTAAAGCACAGGTAAAACTCCAATTCTTTCTTGAATCCATCTTGATATTGTAGCAGCTGCAGCTTAGTGAAGAGCTTTATGAAAGAAAAAATGTTCTGTCACATCTGAGTCATTTTCAGAAGCATTTCACGTCTGAATGTTTGTTCTTTTATACATTTTTGGTAAGCGGTTAATTCTTCTGTCTGAGATAATCTCATGAGAGGAAGATGCCATTTGGCTGAGAGCCTTACTGAGGTACCATTTATTCAGTTTTCATTACCCAGTAATTTACATGCGAATGATCTTGATTCATTTTTTAAAACACTATCATAACAGATGTCTCATAATCAGTATCATGTCAACATTCTGCTGGAACATGGGCACTTGAACATATATCCCATTTGTTGGAATGATAAACATTGACATAACAGTTGCATTCATATGTCATCTGGTACTGCAGGGTTTCTGTGATTTGGATAGTTACAAATTCAAAAGTACTTAAAAGCCTTTGAGATTCTTTAAAAATAGATACATAAAATGTCATGTACTCCTCCCAACCTCCTTTTGCTCGTGAACTGTGATTTGACAAGTGTCATTTGTTATATTTCAATTTAGGGCTACAACAAGCCAAAAGCCTACATTGCAGCTCAAGGGCCACTAAAATCGACAGCAGAAGATTTCTGGAGAATGATATGGGAACACAACGTAGAAGTTATTGTGATGATAACTAATCTCGTTGAGAAAGGAAGGGTATGAGTACCTTTGTCTGTTATTTATTTCCCTGATGTTGATAGATATCTACCTCTAGCAGACTCCTTTCTCTCTTTTAAAAATATGTTTTATGCATGTATTAAGCAAAAAGCAACAGTTTGTAGTAGTTGCTTGTAGTAAGATCGGCTATAGAAGTATAAAGATTAGGATATTTAGTATGAAACTAAAGAAAACATTTAAACTTGATTGTCAACAAATGAAGTCTTGAAAATGCCATGGTCTAGCTACAAAAGACTGTTTTATACTGAAAAAGAGACCTGTATATGTTTAGGAGTGGCCAGACCATGGACCTTGTGCCACATTCTGCTATCAGTCTGCTCCCCATCATTCTCTTTCTCAGGGTTGCATTAAGACCCTGGAAAACAGAAGGCTGCAGTTTGGGTGACTTTTTCTGGATACACTGGCTGCTCCCTGTTAACGTCCCGTGGGACCCACAGTTCCTTTCCTGTCACATGACTAGATACACATTTGTCCAGGGAGACAAAATGAGGTCAAACCCCACCACAGGATGTGTGTTTCTCTGGCTATGTGATAGGAATGGGCATGTACCCTGGGGTCACGAGGGGACAATTGCATCACGCTTGCCACATACTGGCAGCAATGCCTAAAATGCATGTAAGTCCTGTCATATGGCCTAGTAAGTGTCTATCAGATCATACAGACACGGCAAATGCAGATGAGGGCCGCACTGAGGGTACCACTTCATTTATAACACCATGCTATAAACATGTACTCTTCTAGTGCTCCTAGAGAAGGCTATATGGCTGCCCAACCAAAAGGCTGGACATCACAGCTCTCTACTGTATGCTCTGGCCACACACAAGCTCACTCTTACCCTCGCTGATCAGATAGAGCTATACTCTACCCGTGCTATGAACCAGCCAAAAGCCACGTGTGACTCTACTGCCTTGAATGTTTTCCTGTCATTCCTATAGATAATCTGTTATTTTCTTTAGATTTTAGAGTGCCTACAGAATGGCAAACTCCACAATATTAGAGTGCTGTAGCTCTGATAGTATGATCTAAAGCTCTCTTTTTTTTTGAGTAGAGCATCTTTGCGCAACCGTCTCTCTTTACAGCACAAAATAAATACACATTGTTTGTTCTCTTGTGCTGAAGATCATGTCTATTATTAACTGGGTATATTGAGAGTCCCTGTATCTTTTTGTGGTTGACTGTGCTCTTAAATGTGAACATTTCAGCTTGCTAGTTTCACATTTTGTTTTCTTCAGCTTGCTAGTTTCACATTTTGTTTTCTTCCTCTTTTTCTCTGTTTTTCATTTGTTTTCTAACAGAGAAAATGTGACCAGTACTGGCCTGCCGAAGGTAGCGAAGAGTATGGGAACTTCTTGGTTACTCAGAAGGGTGTTCATGTACTTGCCTATTACACCGTAAGGAATTTTACTCTTAGAAACACCAAGATCAAAAAGGTTTGTGGCATCCTGAAAACATGGTTTGGGAAAAAGGCAGTGTTAAAAGTTGCTCAGAATATTTTTTAAGGCAGTTAGCAGCTCTTTTCTGTTGTGTAGGTAAAGCTGAATCCTGTACATCTCAGGCAGCCAAGATGCTCATTAACTTCAGAGTTAATTTGTCCAGTTCAACAGATTTAGAAGATACTGGCCCATAGTACTGGTGTGATGTAGGACCATCAGGGAAAAGGCTGTGATCACACTGGAGAGCTGATTTGGACTTTGACTGCCTGGTGAGCAGGAGAATACATGTTCAGAAATAGAGCAGCTAGTAGAAAATGTGGTATGAATTAAATCATCCACCTCAGCTATCAGTTTTCCTTTATAAGGACCAAATTTTTATGCCCCTGCAAAAGAGGTGAATCCGCGCTTTGGTTTATTGCAGTCAGAACCAGCATGCTGTCAGCTCAGCAGTGTGACATTGGCCACTTCGAGGGGCGTTCTGAAAGCTTGATTTATTTTGGCCACCTAAATGTTAGGCATCTGATCTCTCGGCTTCCCCGTACAATTATTGGCTAAAGTACAGTACTTACTGTCAAGTAATTTATTCTGCCTATTTTAGGAATGAATGAGATGACCTGCTCTCTGAAAAGGTACCCCTGCCTCTGAGTTCCCTTTGAGGAAGGGAGCTTAGAAAAGCAGCCTACACAAGGCTACTTCCCTTGTAGACCACTAAAGCTGTGAGGTGAATCCCACCCTTTCTGTCCACCCAGCAGAGGAACAAAGTGACAGAAACAGCTGGTGACTCTTAAAGAGCAGCTGGAATTTGTTATCCCTCCAGTGCTCTTGGCCTTTCTCTACGGCTTCTAAGGGACAGTGCCAGGTGATTTTTCCATGCAGTGGGCAAGCTGATGGGACAGGAGCACTGGCTCTTCCTCTTTTCTTTGAAAACTGGAATTTTCAGAACTATGTGGCATGCTGTTAACTAAATAGGGACAGTACTAATTCAAGAACTATCAGGTATGGAAATAAAATTACGAAGAGCTGCCGTTCAGATGTGGGCTGCTTACATACGGAATTGTTTTTCTCTTGCAGGGTTCCCAGAAAGGGAGGTCTAGTGGACGCATAGTAACTCAGTACCATTATACCCAGTGGCCTGACATGGGCGTTCCAGAATACACGCTGCCCGTCCTCACCTTCGTGCGGAAGGCATCGCATGCCAAGCGCCATGCTGTCGGGCCTGTTGTGGTTCATTGCAGGTGTGGTTTTTACTGCCGTAAGGTTCACTCCGCTTTTGTTTTGCAGAAAAAAGAATTTTTCAGTGGTGGCTTAAGCAAAATTTCACTCTCACTTAACAATTCCTGATGGAATAAGATTAATTTCTTAGCTGATACTTCTATCCTTGGTAAGGCCAACTAATCAACTGTCTGTGCCACTTCTATAAATGTCTGTAAACAAGATGATGCTTCTCTGCACTATGTTCTTTTTTTTTTCCCAAAAAATGCTTTTCTTTTTACTTTTTTGCACATTTCTATACTACTCTCTTGATTGCTATGAGCTTACCAGATACATATATAGCAGTAATTCTTTCATTTCTGCAAATATATTGCTAGGATGGTTTTGGCTCATGCTTTCTTTGGTGCAGGGATACTCTGTAATCCTAAGAGGAGCTCTGTCCACAAAAGAAGACTCGCTCTATTCCTGGCTGAACTGCAACTCTGCTGTTTTTAACATTACTCTGCGCTCTAGCAGTCATTTGCAATGGAGGAGCATTCTGGGGAACGGTTTGAGGTCTGCATGTGCCGCAGTGTGCAGGCAGGTGTTCTGTCAGTGCTCACTAAAACTGGGCAGCTCAGGGAAAATTGGTTAAAAAGGGCTTGTAGGGCCTGGAACGACTTCACAATGCCCGTGAAGGACCGGGTTATTGTAAAATATATAAGCAGGTTCTGGTTTTCCACTGTAGTACCTCACCTTTGATGGAACATTTGGAAAGAGAACCTCCTCATGAATTCTGTCCTTCTGGAGCTGACTCTGAGGAAGCCAACAGGTAAAGTTGCCTCACAAATGCTGCAAATGAAGATATTTTATTTCTGGGATGATATAATCTGACTGAAATCTGTTTTTAGCTGGGAAAATGAAAATTCCACATTTTGGTTGTTCTGCTGCTATCTACATCCTGCCTGTTCTTGGGAAGTTAAAAATAAGAGTTTCCCCAAAATGCCAAGTCTGAGATCTATGCCAGCAGGCTGAGAGATCAGCAATACATTATAAGTCAATTAAATTGAGTTTTTTAAAAGTGAACAGTGGTAAGTTGTGTGGCTTCAGTCAGACCTCTCCATTGGGTCATAGGTATAACTCACCTCTGTCTGTAGGCAGTTTTATTCAGCTTTTAGTTCATTCGTCCCCATACACTATGGAATTTCAAAGGAGTCATCTCATGTTAGAAATGTAACTTATTTATCTGTACAGGCTATATGGAGGACACAGATTACAAACTTCATGAAACTATTATTAGTTTTTTTATGTTTTGTTACTTTTCGTGGTTTGTATTTCATAACAAGTACAGATGGTGTCTGGTAATCTTTATACTTTTTTGTGTCTAATAGCATGTTAATAACCTGGACCTTTCAGGTTTATATCACGTTTATTTAGACAATTTATTACAGCAATCTGAGCTCACACTACCCATGCTTTGTGCCCCCTCTGTGGAAGAAGTGAGATGACTGAATTAGCATGTACAGACTGAGCTTGGATCTGCCCGTAAGGGATCATGCAGACCCAGAACAGCGTTGCTGTCAAATTACATGTACCAATACACATAATGTTTCCTCATAACTTAGAGGGGAATTACAACTGACTAGTTCCTATATATGGCTAGATAACAAAAAATGACCTCTTGGCTTTGTACTCCCTACCCAGCTATTTTATGAAAGAAAAAGTTGGGTTTTAATCTTACAATAGAGCCATTTTTATGCTAAATAAGTCAGAGTTCATAACAGGATTGATTTGATTAACCCTTTCTTCTGCATCTTCCCTTTTTAAGAAGAGTTTCAAGCATTGCTTGCCATCTTAGCTATATTGGAAGAGCACTAAGCTTTTTCTTTTACAGATGTACCTTCAGCAGCTCTGCAACTTCGTGGGGTTTTCCTCAGTCCGGTATCTTTGAAATCTCCTATATCTGTAACAGGTGGCATAATGCAACTTTCCCTTTAAAGTGATGCGTGTTTCAACACAGAAGAGCTTGAGCACATGAACTGTGCCCAAACGCTGACCTATGCCACCCTTTCTGGGTATACTTGGCACAGTATCCAATGGAATATCAGAAGCCTGAAAATAGCAGAGCTGCAGGAAACCCCTTAGCTCTATTTCAATTGATATTTTAAAAATTGTTTGAGAAAATGATCTTTAGATCTATTCTTGCACAAAGAAAAAGATGAGTTGAAAAGATTTTTCTTCATTACCAGCCTTGAAGTTTTAGCGAAGTATATCATATAATAAAACTATTTGTAGAGGAAAGTTTTCCCTATACACCAGTTTGTTGAAAAAAGCTATGTATAAGAAGCAGTTCTTTTCATTATTGTTTTACTTCAGGCTCAAGACTGTTTCTTTGTTTTGTAGTGCTGGTGTTGGAAGGACAGGCACATACATAGTGTTAGACAGCATGCTGCAGCAAATTCAGCATGAAGGGACAGTCAACATATTTGGATTCCTAAAACACATACGTACCCAAAGGAACTACTTGGTGCAGACTGAGGTAAGAATAAAATATATATAATGAAAGATTATTACAGACTATTTCTCTTTGCAGGAGGAGAGATGATACAGTCCTCTTGGCACCACCAGGCTGACTGGCAACCAGTCACCAGACTGGACTTTCATAGAGACATCCTTCTGGGCTTGCTTAGAGCACTGCACTAGAAATTACCTATCTGTGGGCCCTTGTCTGTTTATTAGGGAGGACTCAGAAGAGACAAAGTCTGTATAAATCATGCTTCCTGCAGTAGTACTTTCTTGGCAGGGAATGCATTTTTATTGTAGATTTTTTAAGGAAACACCATTGTCAGGTGTTCAGATCTTCACTGGACCTGATCATACAGTTGATATCAGGCAATAAAAAGCAGGGAAAAAAAGCTCTTTCAGATAGAAGGTTATCTATAGACTGAAGATTATATATAGAATAGTAAAAGACCAGAAGAAAACAATACAGACAACAGCAGGGAATTTGAAAGTCTACTTCAGGTTTCAAGAATGGGTGGTTAGATTCCCCAGTGCCCTTTCAATAGAAAAAAAAGTAATCAACAACAGCATGGGCACTAGTTCCAAAGGATGTGAGAGAGAAAATAGAGGATAGCAGTAGGAACTGGGCATGAGCACTTTATTGCAAGAAAGGCAACGAGGACTCACGTAACAAGCTGACTTGAAAATTTGACTCAAGGCTATGCTTGCATTTTTAACTCTATTCTGTGAACATGAGATACCGCAGGTGGTGGGGATTTGGTATTATATCATATATACATTGCATGTGTAGTTCAATTGCGCTTCTAAATGTGTACTGTCGCTGCAGAGGGATGGCCTTCCCTGCAGAGGATCACTTTTGAGAAAACTCCTCTACAGCAGCATGCTGTGAAGAAATACTAACCATGTCAGAAGTGGCAGCTTACCCAGAGGTGTCCAGGGGAATCTGAAAATAATGCGAACTTGGATGTTTGTTTTTACTTTCCTAGGAGCAATATATCTTCATTCACGATGCATTGGTCGAAGCGATACTCAGTAAAGAAACAGAAGTCCCTGAGACTCATATTCATGCCTATGTTAATGCTCTCTTGATACCTGGACCAACAGGAAAGACCAGACTGGAGAAACAATTCAAGGTGAGCTCCGCAAGATAGTAACACAAAAAGCTTTAGGCTTGCAAGCTTGAATGACTTAAAAATAGGTATCTCAACACAACTTTCATTAGCTTTCTCTATCTAAAATTTAACTGCTGAGACTAAATTCAGAGCAATTTAACAACTGCATGCAGTCAGTTGGAAGAAAAGAATTATTTGCATACTCTTAAACAAGTAATTTAAAAAAAAAAAAAAGAAAAGAAAAAAACAAGAGCATAAGAAATAGGCCAGTAAGTAGATTTTGGAAAATCTAACTACATGCCTTTGCACAAAGATCCCAAAGGCAATAAAACAGTCTGGAAAGATGTCATTCTGGCAAAAATTCATGAGCTATATTGATCAATCTACATATTCCCCTCAGTGTCCAGCACTGGCTAGAAGACAGACTTCACCTCAGCAGGCGATAAGTGAACACTTTGGTGCTTGTGGATGTGGAGATCAGTGTGTACATGCATGGGACTTCATCAGACCCAGATGGGTAACAGCCCAGAATCGATGAGAGAAACAGCTCATTGACTCGTGGGGAGAATGGGAAGTCTAGCTCGCTCACTGGGTCACTTATAGAGGAAACACAGAAAATCCTACCTTTTCAAATGAATTTGAATCCAGAGAAGTAAATCACACTTAAATGTTTTCCAAATTATGTGGCAAAACAGACTTTGTTCTCCCTAATTTAACAGGAAATTAATCATTAGAAACTTTCTCTCTAAGGTTTTTAATTCTAAGGAGGACTGTGTGGCATAATGTGTATTCTTTCTACAATTAGCTAGCTATTGGATCATAAGTAAAAAACTTAAGCAGCTAAGTCTGTAGGTAATATCAGTACGTAATGAGGCTATGAAAAATATTAATGTATTTATTTTCTGAAGTATTTTGGTCACATAAGCACAGTAACTAGCATTTCTTCAAGATAATGAACAATACAGAACAAGAGAGTAGAAACAACATACCAAAGGATTTCACAGTTTGCTGCTATCCTGGCTTGAATGATCCGGCAGTGTTGCACTGTTTTTTCCTAGGCAAAAGTAGGGACTCTCACTTCAGCTGTGATGTGTTTGGAGGAATAAGCATCCCACCTTTCCTACACAGATGAAAGAATAAAACACATAATATATACAAACCGACTGTGTAAATATATATAAACACAGAGGTGCAGCGCAAATTGCAGGAGCCATGTAGAGCTCCAATTTCAAGAGCTTAAATATTATCAGAAAGGGACATGTCTCAGCCGATCTTATTTTCCTCTGCAAGCTAAAATTATTAGAATAATAACAAAAATGTGGAGTCTTGTTTTACTGAAGAACTGTTTTAGATAAAAAAGACTTGTGGTCTAATTCATTTTGATCGAACTTCCCTGCTTTGCTATCTGTTTTTCCAAAGCAGGCAGCTTCTGAAAACTACACATGTCCAGCCCAAAACATCACAGAAAGCTCTTTTGAATATTCTGATTAATCTGGTTGATTTTACTAGCAATCAAAAAAAAAAAAAAAAACCCTTAAAGATAGGAAAAACATGCTTTCCAAATTTATTTCATGCCTAAGCAGTATACATACAGTGGTCTATATACATATATACTCGTTCCTTCTCATACTCTTGTCTATTTGAATTGTATTAGTTGAAACAAGTCAATGAGACCACCCCCCAGATCAGTCCTACTTTCCTCTCACAGATGTGGAGAGAAGAAAATCAGGAAGCTCATAACTGGGATGCCTAGAGATGCCTCACATCAGGAGCTATACTATCTGTATAACAATGCAGATTTTTCTGCAGACACTTACTGTTTTCCAAAACCATTTTAACAGCTGTGCAGGCAAAATGGAAGTGACACCAGGATGGCAGCAGTCACACTGGGTGGGCTTGATGTGGAACAACATAAAGTGGCATTTCCTTCAAAGACATGCTTATCGATCTAGGGCTCAAGAATCATTTGAGCTGATAAAACAGTGAAGAAAAAAGATTCTGATGACTTGCTAAGTAGTGCAGCCAGATAACTAGATACCTAAAGTTGAGAGAGACAGCTAACCTGCAATACGTGCACTCTTCTGTTTAATGCAGTTAATGAAGGAATGGCTTTTGTACAGTTGCCTGATTTTTTTTAACTTGGTTGTTTCAGTTACTGAGCCAGTCTAACACACAGCAGTGTGATTATTCAACGGCTCTCAAACAGTGCAACAGAGAAAAGAACCGAACTTCATCCATCATTCCTGGTAAGCTTGTTCAAATTGGTTCCTCTGGGTGGCAAAATGTTTATGAACTGCATGTGTTAAGCCTTTAATCTTTCCTCAGCAAGAACTGAAGACATCTGCATGGGTGTGGAGCAATGTTCTGTAAAGTACTTTCAGTGAGGAAATTACTTAAGTACTACACACAGGAAAACAAAATAGATGGCTGCATAACGCTTTATACTGATTGATGGAGCTTGGTGTTATCGTTACTATGAGATACGTGAGATGTTGCTGTAATATATCGAGTCATTGCAACATACATACTAATTCATAACTTTTTTGCAGTGGAAAGATCTAGAGTGGGTATCTCATCACTGTCTGGTGAAGGGACAGACTACATCAATGCTTCCTATATCATGGTAAGTCAGTTAACTGTACTGGTGAGAAACAATGTCCCATTGTATAGCTGTTTTTCAGAGCTGTCATGTGTCCAAGTTAGGGTGGCACAGTCCTGATTTTGAAAGCTCCTTTCTTCTGTTATTCACTCTGCCTGAAAGAGTTACTTCCCCCAGGAAAGTATTATTACTTTTATTACTGGTTTTTTTTTTTTAAGTTTGGTTAAGTTTAACAATCTGTAGAACCAGAAATCCCATCATAGTTTTAAAAACTGGTAAAGCTAAATGTCACCTATGGAAGGATCTTCTGAAATTAACTAAAAATATTAACTAAGCAACTGATAACTTAACTAGATCTGAGCAATATCTCATCTAGTTGAATGTCCCTGCTCATTGCAGGGGAGTTGGACTAGATGACCTTTAAATGTCCCTTCCAACCCAAAGATTCTATGATTCTATGAACTAACAAGTCAGTTTGCAATGGCTGTACTGTGCTTGGCTTTCCTACTTGCTCATTTTACAGAGCTTTTGCAACTGGCATAGCCCAAGGCATCGTAGCTCATCAGCTTTCCATTATCTTTTTGTTCCCGGGGTTTTCTTCAACTCTTTTCCCCTTCATTAGCTGAGAGGGAGGAGTAAATGCTTCCTGGACATTCATGAAAGACATGGGAAAGGCCCCTGCACTGCTGTGTATGCATGATCCTTCATCAGGTGCATTAGTGCAAAGGAAGTCTCTTTTGTGGTAAGAAGTTGATCTGGGACGTCTGTACAAATTAAGACACTGCTTGGGATTTTTGCAGATCTTTCAATTATTCTTTTATTTGTTTCAGGTTGCCAGCTCCTCTGGAAGTCTGGCTAGTATAGAACAATTAGCATGTGTCTGTGAATTAATGTATTTTCATTCTTAGTTGACTGTTCAAGTCTCCACTGAGTTATTTTGTCCTTTTTTTTTTTGATCAAATTTTTTTAAGCTTTAAAAATTATTTCAGTGTAATTGATTTTATTCTTCTCATCTGGAAAATACTGCGATGGAAGTTTTATATTCTTCTAACATTTACAGGAAACCAAAGGAGGCACAACTCTGCAATTTATTTTCTCAGCTTCTAGTTCTGTCCATGAGCAGCTTGCTTTAAATGTTAATAGTTGGGCATCAATCCTGTGTCTGTTGATTTTGTTTTGCAGGGCTATTATCAAAGTAATGAATTCATTATTACCCAACATCCCTTACTACACACTATCAAGGATTTCTGGAGAATGATATGGGACCATAATGCCCAGCTAATAGTCATGCTTCCTGATAGCCAGAATATGGTAAGTTTTGAGGCAGATAATTGTTGTGGGTTTATATGTGAATTTTATTAGTATTACCATTTTGAAGTATGCAGGATGTGAGACAATATCTTGGATTTTGAAAAAAAAACACCAAAGAAATAAAAAATAATAATACTGTGCTGAGCGTAAAATCTCCAAATCATCTAGTGGAAATCAGGAGATCCTTGTCTGATCTGGGGGCAGATTGCAACTGGCATGAGAAAGTATTGAATCATTCCCATATAATTTATAAAAAGAGCCAAACAGCAGAAGTAACCATTATGCAAGGTTAGTTTTCGCTCCAAGATTTTTACTTTAGTTGTAATATGGCTTCTTCAGCCATTATAAAGAGGAGAAATATGAGGTTGTTTCTCTTGCTTATCTCCTGAAGTTACAAACAAACATTTAGCAGGGATTTAACTGAGACTAAACAGCAAAGGAAGGTCACCTATTCATTCTGCATGTGTAGTTTAATAACAAATGACTATGTTTTTCAGTTGCTAGAAATGCAGGGATATCTGAGAGCTTTTAGGCTGGTACTTAGAGAAATTTTGAGGTGTGAGGGGGCATCATGTTTTATAATGAGTTTGGAGGAAAGACCTGCAAAATGCTTTGGAGACTCTTGCATATTGGAAAAAGATGTACAACCAAGACAATGTTTGGTTTTTTTCTTGTCATCAATCAAATGTTTTATGAATGTTACACTTCCTATAAAACAGATGGATTTTTAAGTTAGCCCTTGTAATAAGGGAGGTTGTTTTGCCCGGAGGTGCTGGTTCATTGTGATCCCAGTAGGAGAGACATTCAGACTCTGTAAAGGGTCATTTAAAATGCTATTTATTAGAGCTAACACTATAAAGGAGAGGGTAGTATAGATAATCTTATGTCCCATCACATAGATGCTGGGAACCCCAAGTTGTGCAGCAGTGAACGGGTCTCTGATCAAGGTACATCACGCCATGCAGCTCCTGTCCATGGAAGGGTTACTCCTATTTTGGTCATTCAAACTATTATAGGATTTTCTTAAAAGAGAACAACTCTGTTCATCATTTCTGCTGTCAAACAGAAAGGATGTTCTCATGAGGACTTCTTGCTGCACTTTTAGATAATGCCAAGGCCACGCAAGTGGCATAATCGTCAGTACAGAGTGGGAGCTGCCGGCAGGCTCCTATGTTACAATCCACCAGCTAAGTTTATCCTGTGGCCATGGTCTATGGGCAGCCCAACGCTGTCTGAAGGCCAGGCTGGACATGTGGCACAGTGCAACACAGCACATGTTGAGTATTAAGTAGGTCGCTATCTCCACAGGCTACAGTGGTCTTCTGGTCCACTGTACACTGCAGAGATACCTGAAAACCATCACATGTGATGTTTGTAATCCCACTCAGATTTTGATTTGACAATTTCAACCTAGCTGGCTGCATTGATTACATACAGGACTCATTATTTATTACGTTGGATTAAGTTTTATTTTGAGAGCTCAACATTACTTACTTTTATGGCTGCTTCTTTTTTTCTTGGAGGCTGAAGATGAATTTGTATACTGGCCAAACAAAGATGAGCCTATAAACTGTGAGAGTTTCAAAGTTACTATGATTGCTGAAGAACACAAGTGTCTGTCCAATGAGGAGAAGCTCATAATCCAAGACTTTATTTTAGAAGCTACACAGGTAACACTGTCATAAATATGTAACTCAGGAGTTGATTTGTTAAAGGTAATGCCTACATTTTCTTACATTTTCTATGATAAATGAGTGATAAAATCCCATGCACCTGAAACACCCAGGGAGGGAGTAACCTTTATAGGTAATGTGGTGACATGGGGAATAGGGTAGTCCAACCTCCACAGCAGTGAGATTCTGCATCTGGAGGCTGGAGCCAGACTGGAACAGGGTGAAGGATAAGAATAAAGGCAATACTTTACCAAAATGTTTTATGATTTTTTCACTCTTTTAGGATGACTATGTACTTGAAGTGAGGCATTTTCAGTGTCCAAAATGGCCAAATCCTGATAGTCCTATTAGTAAAACTTTTGAACTGATCAGCATCATCAAAGAGGAAACTTCCAACCGTGATGGACCCATGATTGTACATGACGAGTAAGAACTGCAGCTTTCAGTTTGTTTTGATGTTTTTCTGTAGAACCATCCTTTCATCTCATCTCATTTAGAGTGAAAGCCGCTGAACAAGGTACAAAGTCTGCACCTAACAATAGTGCTGCTGCTTCTGTTGCAGCTGCTTCAATAAGAAAAACATTTTTATTTTATCACATTTCAATGATTTCTTTTCATTTCTATCATTTTGGTACTCCAGATGATTGTGAGTAAGGCACTGGAGAGGAAATCAATCAGGACTTCATTGTCTATTACTGACTATTTAGATGAGGCACCTTCCCCTTCTCCAGCTGTTTAATAATGGCCAAAAACTCTGAAATGTTGAAATACTGAAGAATCTGAGGCCTTCAGGATCTGGTTAGTAGAGGATAACAGGGAAATAAGTCTAAGACTGGCTTTTAAAGGCTCTCCAGAGATTGTAGCCAGGTGTTCTGAAGGTCGTGTTAAGGCACAGCTATTTCAGAAAGTGTAAAGATCACATGACAGTCTTTCATCTCACTGGTTTGCCCTGAGTTTTATATTTTTTCCAGCTGTAGAAACTTAATCCAGTTTCTAGAAACCTTTTTTGTGTGTTTTCTTTTTTTTTTTTTACTTTACAAAGGCATGGAGGGGTGACAGCAGGCACTTTCTGTGCATTAACAACACTGATGCATCAACTGGAAAATGAGAATTCAGTGGATGTTTACCAGGTAGCAAAGATGATAAATTTGATGAGACCTGGAGTCTTTACAGACATTGTAAGTAGTAAGCAAAATGTGTGCATAATTTTTTTCCTGTGATGTGTGGTATTATCAGCATGCTTAGATCTTAGGGCAACATTAGTGAACCATTGGCATCTTAGTTTCTCTGTGATTTAATCAAAACTGTCTTCCAGAGGTGCTGTAGTGGACTTGCTGCTTATTCCAAAACAAAGTGTTTCCTGTGAAAACCTGTTATGCGGTTATCAAGTGGTCATATTCAAAACATGCAGAGCTGCCACCGTCGTCATAAAATCTGCATTATGTCATGTAAATGAAGGTTTTAATTCAGCAGG